GAAAAAACTAGATGAATAAAAGTTTTTAGAGCATGCAGGGACAGATACAGTAAATGAGACTTAGCTAAATGACGAGTAAAACAAGAATGAATTTTAGTTGATGGAACTAGAGATGATAACTCCTTTGAGCAGTGACCATGATAGTATTTGTAGAAAAGAGAAAGAGATGCAACTTTACAACGATGGGAAAGAGGCTTTAGCTTAGCAGATAGTCCAGGTCCAACAACATTTACAATGCGTTTTTGGACCTTGTCAAGAAGAGAAAGTGAATCGTTAGAAGAATCAGCCCAAATATGATAACAATATTTCATACAGGGACAAATAAGAGATTAGGTAGAGGTAGAGAATGGAATCAGAAGTAAAGAAATGACGAGCACGATAGAGAGAAGCAACCTTAGCAGAAGCTAATTTAGCAATCAATTGTATATATGGTTTCCATGAAAGGTCAGTAGTAAGCGATAATCCAAGAAGACGTAAAGAGGAGGACTCAGTAAGAGGATTGCCATTCATTAATATAGGAATGTTGACCATATTAAGGTAGTTGTTTGCAGTAAACAACTGGGTTTTGTTAGAGTTGAAATTCACAAGCCACTGTGAACCCCAATCTATTACTGAAGTGAGATCGGATTCAAGATCAGCAGCTTGCTCTAGGCGATCGAAAAGAGAAGACTTTTTGTCAAGACAGGAGTATAAAGTTGAGTCATCAGCAAAAAGAGCTACTTTAAATGAAAGGTTGTCAGGAAGATCCTTTATGTAGATAAGAAACAAAACAGGGCCCAGGATGGAACCTTGGGGAACCCCAGAAGTTACTGGAAATAAAGAAGAGTGTTGGCCTTCAAGAATGACTTTATTAAACTGTTTAGAAAGAAATAATTTGATAATCTCAAAAACTTTCCCAGAAACACCATATGAAGCAAGCTCATGGAGAAGACCAGCATGCCAAACTTTGTCGAAAGCTTTAGATATGTCGAGAGCAATAGCCCTAGCCTCACCGCCTCCATCTAATGCACGATAAAATCTTTCAGTTACAGCAGTTAGCAAGTCGGCCGTAGAGCGAGAGGATCGAAAACCGTATTGATTGTCTGACAGTACTTTATTTGGCTCAAGATGAGATGTGAGGAATTTGTTGATCAAAGACTCAAATACCTTGCCAAATAATTGGAGGGGTCAGAATTTTCTCCAGAGTTTTTAAATATTTGAACCACAGATGCCATTTTCCAACAAGCAGGAAAACAAGACTCAGTCAAACACTTGTTAAATAGTTTAGAGAGAATTGAAGAAAGTTCTGGAGAACAATTCTGCAAGACTGTGACAGAAATGTTGTCTGGACCACAAGCTGTAGACGAGTTTAATTGAGATATAACTTTAGCAACAGAAGCCGGAGTGATTTGAATGTCTAACAATGGGTCAACCTGTTTGACTGGAATGGAAGGATGAGAATGTTCATAAGAATCAAGAGTGGAATTAGAAGAAAAGTTCTTTGCAAATATTTTTGCCTTATCTTTGGGAGAGGTAATAAGATCAGTCCCATGAATGGATCTTATTACCTCTCCCAAGAGATGAAATGTTAGATCTACCCTTGTTAATAATGCTGTTGAAGATTTTCCAAAAGTCTTTAGAGCCTAACTTCTGTGATAAGATGCAAGATTTAGTGAACTGAGAATAATGGAGTTTAGCATCAGAAAGCACCTTTTTACATCGATTTCTTGCAATAATAAATAGCCGTTTGTTCTCAAGAGAGTTGTTCTTTTGAAAAAGATAAAAAAAATGATTATGATTGGATATAGCAGCCGCACAAGAAGGAGAAAACCATGGAGTAGAATGAGGCTTGACTTAAAACCGACGAGAAGGAATAAAAGCTTCCATTCCAGCCTGAATCCAGGAGGTTACGTAGGAGGCGCATTTATCAGCTGAGAGAGAAAAAACATCAGCCCAAGGACCATCATGAAGAAAATCACAAAAAGATTCCCAGTCAGCTTTAGGGTGGTGCAATGATAAGGTGAGCCCAAAAAAGAAGTACGAGAAGAAAGATTTATAGAGATCATTGCATGGTCAGAACCACCTAAGGGAGAAAAGGGAGAAACTGAACATAAGCTAGGGTCAGAGACAAGAGATAAGTCAAGGAGTGAAGGTAAATGATTAGGGTTGTCAGGAAAACAAAAAACAAAATTAACTATCTGAGTAAGAGATTGAGAAACACAGAAGTTAAAGGCTTTAGTGTCAGCAGGATCAGTGATGTTAGAGCCAAGCCATTCAGTGTGATGGGCATTACCAAATCACCAACAACAATAATATTGGCAGAGGGGTAAAGAGAGAGGGCATGGTCAATTTGATCAGAGATAACATCTAAAAGAATGCAATCATGGGAAGAAGGAGAACGATAAAGAACAAAGAGAAAGGTGATAGAGTGAAGAGGTGCTAGACCAAAGAATGGTCAAAGGATTCGAACCTGATTTCACGAAAATATGGGAATTAATGGGTATGTATACCCCTAAACCTAGCATGTGACTATTGGAGTCTTTAAAAATCAAAGGATAGTACCCATCAACACTGACATCTGAAGAAGGAATTGCAGAACTTAAATTTGCTTCACTGAGTGCAAGCAAGTCTGGTGAATTTTTGAGGAGAGACTCAACTGACGGAAAGTTGCTTCGCAGACCGCGAATATTTGTAAAAGATATATTAAAACGTTTAGGTGGTGGGAATGGTTTTTTAGGTTTAAAATTTTTGGTTACTTTGGTCATGATTTTGGTTTAATGAGAACTTGACTCATTTATAGATAGAGCACAGCCTCCTTATCAATGAGCTATGCAGTTGTCTCAGTCTTGTTAATTGATCCTAAGCCGTGACATAGGGCTCCTTATGTGGCCTTGACAACGCACACCAAAAGCATTAACAGGGACACCATCCATGCGCAGCATGGCACTGTTAATACTCTGATATTTTGCAGCTGTTGATGGAATCAGCCTCTCTGAGAGCTACCACAGAGTTTGGGAAACCTTACTACCAGCCGGCCTCAGAACCATTAAACTGAGTTTTAGAGCTGTACCCTCATATAGAGATAACAGGAAGAGTTGCATAGCCATTATCAAGGAGTCATAAGCAAAATTCTATGAGTAGAGTCAAGGAGATCCAGCATTCATCATCCTAGGCAGGAAAAAATGTAACACAGGTTACATCTACGCCAGCCTAATAGATGAAGAAGGGGTTCGAGGCTGGTAAGCAGAATTTTTCTGCTTACCCCTAAAGTAGCTGGATGCAGTTAACATCTGCCCAAGATGAGTATTTTTATCAAGACACCATTTCTAGCCTTTACTCAACCAAGAGCCCTAAGACAGGGGATGTTTAGCTGGATGCAGTTAACATCTGCCCTAGATGAGTGTTTTTATCGAGACACCATCTCTAGCCTTTACTCAACCAAGAGCCCCAAGGCAGGGGAATTTTTAGTCGGAGTTTATTTCTCCTAGCCTTTGCCTAAAAAGAGCACACTCTGCATAGCAGCAGGGCTTGTGGCAGATGGTACTGGGTTATGCGATACCAGTACCAAGATTGATCTTGATTATCCTGACCTGACCTGGAGTAGTTAAAAGGAGTTACTTTCCGCAACAGTACTTTGAGAAACAAGGCATGACATTTTGGAAGTGCATTAGGAAAAACACTGCATCTAACAAAATACAGGAGTCTAAGGTGAGTGTAGGTTTTGTAGTTGGAGTAAGTAGCTAGTTACTGAGCTCACGCTGCATCAGAGAATAAATAGAACACAAAGAAACATAAATAAACTTACAGGTGAGTCAACACCGCGCCAGAGGTTCAGACAGAATACAAACATACATAAAAAACATAAAGTAACTTACGGGTGAACGAACACCACGCCAGAGGTTCAGGCAAACACAAACATACATAAAAAAACATAAAAAACATAACGTAACTTACGGGTGAGCGAACACAACAATTTAGTTTTTTTTTCTTTCACAATTTAATTTTTTTTTTTTTAAGGTATTAAATGAACTATATTTATAAACACAATATGTGGTTCATACATAAAACTTATATCGTACAAACTTAACAAGATTTTGGATGAGAAAGAAAAAGATTATATTCTATAGGTGAAAAAAATTCTTTCAAACAAAAATAATTCTCTTTTAATTTACACATTTTTTTACACTTATACACAAAGACTTTCGTAAAATCTTAACATTTTCTTGTAATGAATGAGTTTGCAAAAAAAAAAAAGAAAAAAAGGAAATAAATATTTCTTTAGTATTTCAAAACCATTTTAAATTTCTTCAAAAGTAAAGTTAAATTTTTGATTTTAAGACCACATTTGATTTTAAGTTTTTTTAATTATTTTTTTTTATTTTATAGTTATCAATTTTTTTTAACGTTTTTTTTTTAATTAAAAAGTTAAATTAAAAAAACAAATTTGAAAAAAAATTACTGCAAAAAAATGAATACAGTTAATTTAATGTAATTAATAAACGGTGCATAAACAATATCAAAAAAAATTTTAATATTCCAATTGATTGAAGATTTGGTTAAATGTAAATTGCGGAACTTGAAAGTGATATTGTCATTTCATATGTAAAATTTGTATTGCATAAGGCATAATAAATAGGCCCAAATTTAAATATCTACCTAGTAGGTTCAAAATGTATTTTAGAAGAAGGAGAGTTACAGTTACAATATTTTTGGAAATATTATTTTCATAATGTCATTTTCAATGAATTTTCCTAAATGCTTGAGGGTTTAAAATAAAAAACTAAAACTGTTTTTCGTCTTGAAAGTCCACCCATGAGTATTTTATTTTAGACAACTTGGTCACAAACGTTAGCAAGTTTTTTTAAGCGTTATTTTATTTAGTGTTGCAGAAAAATGTTTTAAAAACAAAGAAAGCAAAACTAACAAAACAAGAAAATAAAATAATATTTATCAGCAAATAACAAATGGTTGACAATTTAAATATAGTTTTAAGAAAAAAAAAAAAAAATTATAAGAAAAACCTCATCAGAACTGCTTCCAACATTTTCTTTATTAACATTCAAAACAGACTGTGCTATCTAAAGTAAAATACTGGATTGATAAAAAACCAAAGCAGATAAATCTAAAATATTGAATATTAATACATTAATTTGACAAAAAAAACCTAGCCCTAAATCTAGATTAATGTCCACATGAACAATTTAATCTATATGCACACAATATCCATTTATATCAGACCCTGCATACTGGAAAAAAAAGAACCTTTACAGTACAAAGAAGTAAACAAAAAAAGGTGTTTAATAAAAGTATTTAAGGCAAAATCAGAATTTACAGAAACTTACTTTTCTATTTGCACAACTGCAATTATTATGTTGAACATAATATTGATAGCTATTAGAGATATGTTGTTATGTAAAACATAAAATTGATAGCTATTAAAGATATACTGTTATGTTAAACATAAGATTGACAGCTAATAAAGATATACTGTTATGTTAAACATAAGATTGTTAGCTAATAAAGATATGCTATTACTATAATAACTATTTGTTTAAAAAAGTTATTTTTAATAAATAAATATTTTTAAAAGTTCTTTGAAAACCTAGCTATGAGCTTCTTTTGATTACCTTTTCTCCAAAATTATTTCTGTAATTGTTTTTTACAAAAAAATTTCGTGATTTTGTAATTTATTTACTGAAATTACATGGTTTCAAATGATTTCAGTTTATGAACTTGATCTATAAAGACCACACAACTACTGCAGTAAAATTGAATGGTATTTTAGTAATAAAACCCCTCTTCACTGATTAGCAAAGCACTGTACTATTCATTATTTATGCAGTTTAAACTGGTTTTGCTGTTTCCTTTTTGCAGACACTTCTGATATTATTTTTCATTGAACAAAAATATAACTACAGTAATCTTCACTTAAGTCATTAAAGTTAAATTTTTCCAAATACCAATACTGTTGCCATAGAATATAATTAGACTGGATTACTGTTGAAATGGAAAAAAGATGTTTCTGGAATACAACTGGGCTAGTTTTTCAAATCAGATGCCAGTTAAAGCCATGTGATATTGAATTGGAAACATTTTAACATATTTAAAAAGCAGTATTTTTCTTCCTAATATTTGTTTTTCTTAAATGTTAAAAGTGATTACACTTATAGAATAGTTTACAACGTGAAAACATTAATGCTTTATTTATAAGTTCTGGAAGAATGTTTTTTCATACATCTTTTATATGCAGAATAAGTCCATAAATAACTTTTGTTAGTAGTTTTTTTTAACAAACTTTACATATAATTTTTATAATTTTAAAATAGTTCTTTTAAAATAGTCCATAGGTGCATTATCTGTTAAGTCTACATTTCAGGGTGAATAAATTTGATAATTTGGTCACATAAAAATTTAATGGTCATTTTTGAAGACTAGGTCATCTAATTTTTGAAGACTAGGAATCTTGATGAAAAGTCAATTTTCAGTCTTTTGATATCATTTTTAATAAATTGTTTTAAAACACTCTCTATTTAGTTACTTGAATTAATATTAACTCCTGCTAGACAAATATTATAAATGTTAATCTTTTTGCACCAATTCCACCCATATCATGACAGCTTTTCAAAAAATTTCACAATCTTTTAAAACTTTTTTTTAATTACATTTTCTAAACTTTTATGACATTTTAAACTCTCATGATAATTTAGAAATAGAAAAAAATCTTTTAAATTTTTCATCTGTAAAATTTATTGTGAATTTAGCTTTAATTTGTGGATGTCTACATTTATCTTTTTTGCCACTAAAATTATCTTATTAATTAATTCTTGCCACATTTTTAACTCTACTAATAGTTGTTATTGAAACTTTGATTCCACTTCTAATAATTTCTTAATCATTCTATACCAATATTTAAAAAAAAGTTTAAATATCCAACAAGTGCTTATTAACAAATAAACTAATATTCAACGATAAAACATGTCCTTTAATATTTTCTTGAACTTTTTTTGTCTTCATATTTTACATAAATTTTATTTTACCCTCATTTTATTTTATTTTACTACTTTAAATATGGGATTTAATGTCACACATTTAAACATAACTTTTTATTGTTTAATTAAAAAGTAATTAAATTGCAAATGTATTTCCAGTTCAACGCCACTTGATTGTATAAATCCATGTGTGGGTGTTAAATCTATCATGGTTTTCTGGAGTATGATTGGGCTGGCTGATAGTTCAGAAATCTTTTATGCTAATCACAAACAACATTTACTGTGTGACACAAACAGCACAGACTTACAGATTACACCTATACACCCATATGCAAATGCAGCCTTACTGGAAGTAATATTTTTACAAGTATGTTCAATTTAAGTTAATCAAAAATGCTTGACAAACAAATTTTCTAATGTAGAAATCAGGAGTTCATTGTTTTATATACAAAAAATTTATAGATTAAAATTTAATTAGTCATCACCTGTTCAAGAAGAATCTCCTGTGCTTTGCTTTTATTTTCTATATCATGTACTGAAGACTTTCTCTTTATATTGCTAATGCAATCTACATCCTTTGTATTTTTAACATTACAGTTTGATAGATTATAACGAGGAATGCGAGATGATTTATTATTAGCTTGAGGATTCAACATTTGAGTCTTTTTAACATTACCTATCTTAGCTGGACAATCCAATTTTAAATTTGTTGATTTTGCTGTTGGTGATGAACTAAAACAAAAAATTAAAATTAAAAATTATGAAAAAAGCAATATTAGATTACAGTAAATAAGGAATACTTTTTTAAATTACAGTAAATAAGGATACTTTTTTTGAATTGATTTTAGTTGTCGAACGGGTGTTTGATCTAAAAAATTAAAGTATGATGGTATTTATAAAGTATTTTAATATAAATATAGAACTTAAACAAATAATATTTTTATTACCATGAATAATGATTAACATTCAAAAATATTAACCATATGATTTTAGTAAATAAATGACAAAATCATGAAATTTTTTTGTTAAAAACGATTACTTAAATCAAGCATTTCAAAATTACGCACTTTGAAAAAATGATTTATATCAATTTTTTAAAACAAAAATGATCAACTAAATATGGATTAAAAAACAGAACCACTCAATGTTGTGATAAAACGCAAAAAATCCTTTAATGCTGTGATAAAACATGTAAAATATTCACGGCTGTTTCACTCAATATAAAAGCGAGCTTGACGTCACAGTTATTTTGTGTTTATCAAAAAAAAAAGAATTTCCGCAAAAAAAATTTAAAAATGCACTAACTTTAAAATAATAGTGTTTTTTTCTTATAAGAGTTTTCATCTTCAAATAAAAAAAATATAAAAGACCTATCTTTTTTTTTTAAATAAATATTTACATTAAACGGAATAAAAATAATAATGTTTAAATATTGCTTGTGATTTGGGATCACTTTTCTTTTTTTTGTGGCTTTTACAGAAAACCTGTCTTGGGTTAACTAAAATTTCATAACATAGCTACATGCCTCATGGTTGAAATTTGGAACATTTATAAATAATTATCTATTCTATCTAATTTTTAGTGTGGATTGCTTACTTTTTATTTTTTAATATTTTTTAATGCATTTATATTTTTAATTTTATTATTAAATAATGAAAATCGTATTATTTTTGTAATCCGCACTAAAATATTGAAATTTCAACCCTTTCTGCATATAAAAATCAAAAAACTCTTTGCTGTACCTCTACCTATGTTATGAAATATGTTTTCAAACTTGGCTAGTTTAGAAACAAATTTTTTTAGTTTAATGCGCAAAACATTGTTTACATTTCAAAACAACCAAGTGACCTTAAATTCTGTACGTCCCAAGCAAATATGTAATAAATTTTATGAAAACAACTTTCTTAGTGAGACAAATTTTGAAGTATAAAATAAACAAAATTAGGCGGTTTTTTCTTTAGAATGGTGCATAAATCTATTATCAACTGGGTTTTCAAAGGTTTCTACTTAAAGAACTTATTAATGGATCAACTTATTAATGGATCAATAAAAGTTTTTTATGAGAATAAAAACACATTATCAAACAATTTAAATTAGCTATTTGTATATTTAAAGAAACGTTTATTATTTGTGTAAAAAGATTGATTCAAGTGCCATAAAATAATTCTATTACCAAAAGCGAGGTTAATTCAAAAACTTTAACTCAGTTTTGGTCACGAATTATTTTATTAGAGTCTTTATTTATTAACAACCTAACACCATATTATTAAAACTGTATGCATAGAAAAGAATTGCTTAAGTTTTTTAAAGGCTTTAGCTTAAAATGTTCAGAATAAATATTTCAAACTTGAAATCTGGTTTTATTTTATAATGCATTGAATTTATAAACTTAGTGAATTATTTTCTAAAACAAGAACTTCTAGATTTAAAAACGTGCTCATTTAACAGCCAATTCCCCCTTTAACAACATTTTTCATAATTTTGCAAAAAATGCGGTTTGCTTGCAGACTTTAATAAAGACTGTTTAAGTTTTCCTTTAACAATTAAGTAAGATTTTTTTTATTTTATTAATAGTTAAACAATGAGTGTATTTGATAATAACTATCAGTAATATATTTTTCTAATTTTTTTTTGATAAAAAGTAACAACAAATTACTAAAATTTAACCAAGTTCATCATTTGCTGCGCTTTTTATAAACTAAAGAAGTTTTTTTTACTATTGTATTAAATGTCGTATGATAAAACATTTTATTGTTGTTTTTATTTCTTTTACAAAACAAAATAATCTCTAATATTTCAAAAGTTATAAATGTTTTAGTAACACCCCCTAAGTCAAAATTTTCACAAAAAAAACAAGAAGCCGTAAAGATGTTTTAAGAATAAAGACAGAAATGTTTTTTTATAAATTGCTGTCTTTATTTTCAAAACATTTCAATGAGTTAGATGAGATTAAATATCAAAAAGAAAGTCATTTCAGTGATGAAATAGAATTAAATGATAACAATGTTGTTATTATTAATGTGGAATTACCTCTAGTAATTCTACAGTAAGCAAATCCATCAGAAAAAAAAAGTCTTACAATACTTTAGGGCATTTCCATTTCTATGCGTGATTTTTTATTTTTCTTTGTTTTAGCAATTAAAAGCTAGGACTTAATGAAATATGCATTCTATTTTAATTTTCTTGAAAAACAATTATAACGAAAATATTTTTATCATATTTTAGGTTATTTGAATAAATTAAATATACACATTTTTACAATTTTATTTTTTTGAGTAATAGTATCGCAACATTTTGAAAAATATACAATAATTTTCAAAACGCCATACTCTGGCTAGAAATAATTAATGACTGCTATTTCTCATCGAAAATATATTAAATATGAGTCGTAGAAGTATAATATTTCATTTAAAATACTCACAAGCACTTTATTTTCCTAAAAATAGCTACATGAAATTGACAAATTCGCAACATCCGTGCGTGACTTCTGTGCGTGATCATTCATAAACTGCATTTAAACGATTGCTGTGACTCTATGACTCATAGTGCAATCCTGAAACTTTCTGGAAATCTATACTAATGCTTAAAATATTATTTTAAAAAAAAGTATACAGGTGAAACATTTATTTTCCGAGGAATTAAAGTTTATATAGTAACTAAAATAGAAATTTTTCTGTTTCGTACATGATTCCATTTCAAACTTTATTTTTTATTTGTTAACATTACTAATGCTTACTAGTTTTTGGTTACAAAATATTTATATAGATTAGAATTAAATGAGAGTAAATTGGAGATCGCTAGTTTTATTTTTATGAAAATAAAAGTAAAAACATATACGAGTTTCCGTGCGTGATTTTTTGAAAATGCCCTTTAGGAATTTCACACATAGCTATAAATAGTGTGATGCATAATTTTTTTAAAATAAATTTGTTCATTAATTATGTATTTATACTTATAAATACACATACATACATACATACATACATACATACATACATACATACATACATACATACATACATACATATATGTATGAAAAAAAACATTACTCTGTTTTTGAAACAGAGTAATGTTTTTTTTCATAACTGTGAAAAAAAAACATTTATCTGGAATCTGGAGGAAAATATTCATTTCACTTTACTCCTGAGAAGGCGACAAATAGTATTAAAGGGATCCCAAACTCCCAACACATGTTGTGTTCATATTAAAGATAATGTTAAAAAAATTGTTTGAACCAAATTTTTTTGATTAAAAATAAATAATGAATGCATACCGTGAAAAACAAATGTTGTTGTTTTTGCCGAAGCTCGTCTTCTCCATTTTTTTGAACTAATCGGAGTCTTCAAATTATGCGTCGCAATCTACAGACTTTGGCAATTCCTTTGAAGCGCGTTTAATTCATAAAAGTTTTAGTATTTGACGTCACGGTAGACTTTTAACAAAAGAAACTCTAGAAATATTTTTGTTTATTTTTAGTCGAAGTTTTTTTGATTATTTGTTTAGTTTTTTATTTTTCTACTTTTAATATGTAAAAAGATAATAAAAACCTTAAATATTTCATGCTGGTTCGTTACTATAAATTGTTATTGCGCCATATATTTAATGTTTATAAATTATGAATATTTATTATCTCAAAAATTGTTTTACATTAATTATAATCAATGTAAAACAAGGCATTTTATTTTTATTGCTTAGACGTTCTAAATAATAAGTAAATTTAGTTCAAGTTAATAATTATTAACTTGAACTAAATTTACTTATTATTTAGAACGTCTAAGCAATAAAAAAAAAATGCCCCTAAAATTATGCGAGATTGTGTTGTTTATTTGGTAATTATTGTTGGTAATGTTGTTTATGTTGATTATTTTCATAAATATCAAAATAGCTCCAGATTAATCTGTTCGTTGCTTTGCTCATTGTTGATTTATTTCTATTACAAACTATAATTATAAGTTAAAAAAGAAAAGTTTTTATTTCATCGCGCGCTCTTTTTATAAAAGAGTAGAACAAAAGAGAAAGAAAATTTTCGCGCAATTAAACTTTGAATGAGTAAGAGTTGTATAGAATATATTTTTTTTTTTGCTTCACTCGTTCTTTTTTTAGATGAGAGAAATAAAAGTTTAATTGCTTGAAAAATTGCTTGAAAATTTGTATTTGTTAATTGTGTTTTTAAAAATTTTTAATTTTTCATGTTAAGAGACAAATGCCAATTACGACACAAATTTGGAAATACCAAATATAATATGTTTTTTAATGCGTGTTATGACATTTTAACAATTTAAATTACCTTCTATCTTGAATTATTGCCTTAAATAAATGTGTTAATTATTGCGTTATTTAATAATAATTTCTCCGTATTTTTGTTAAATATTAGTTGTATAAAACGGGCAAAAATATACAAACTTCATGTTTTTTATTTGATGGTTATAAAATATTGAACAGTAAACTTATAATCAAAATTTATAGTGCCGACTTGTGTTGCAATTAATTGTACTTTTAATGCAAAATCAGGATCTCACAAATCTTTTCACGAATTTTCATATCTGATACTACTGTCAACTGTATTGCTTAGTGTATTCTTGTACTTTTTTTTCATAATCTTAACAGGTTCTAATTGGTATGGAGTTGCTGACATTATAAAAATTTCATTATCAAAAATCAAATGTAAAATAAAATGGTATTTCCTTTTTATCCGTATCCAATTCAGCAAATTTAGCAATTTAAATTAAATCAGCGTGATCAAAAAATTTTATAATGAAAAAAGTTAACAGTTCATTAAATATCTCTAATTAATACTGTCAGTTTATGAAAGTAATTGTTAACAAATACTTTTTTTCGACGGAAAAACAAAAAATTGTCATAGCGTAA